CCACTTGCGGTTCCCTCTGTGCTTAGTATGCAACACTGGTGGGAGCTAAGTCGAGAGAAAGAAAAGGATAGGGGATTTCGAAAGCATCAGCACGAAAACAACTAAACAGTTGAAATTCGCGGTGGATAACCTAGTAGCCTTCCTCGCTCGTAGGAGACAGCTGAAGCTTGTATTCTTGGCTGGTAAGCCGGATACATACTGCACCCAGATGGGACTCTGTAGTTAGCCTTGGCATGATTTGCTTTGCTGTCTAGGATGGTAGTAATGGAAGGTCGCTTCAGGCACCAGCGTAAGCCGGACACACCAAGAGATATTGCTGCTTATCCATATGTCTACAAGTAGACAAATAAACAGCTAAGCACAATGGTGCATGTCTCGGTTTCTCTAGCAACCTGCACTGGTGTGAATTTGAGCGAAATTCATCCAGGCTTACGCTGTCTCTTTATCTAAGACGGTAGTCGGAAAAGCTCAGTTATGGCAATCAGTAATCTGATATCCTGAGATATCTAGGACCTTTCTGACAAAGTCAACTTGTTTCTTGGTATGGCATTGACGAACGCCGTGTGCCTCCCTAGCCCCAAAGTTTTCATCAACGAGGCCGTTACAAATCTAGCTTGCTTTGTCGTCACGTCTATCAGGTCCCAAGAATCCTTTGAGGCCTTCAAGTTCCAGCTGTCGCTCACAGATGTAGACTGACGAACTGGTAAATACCAGTTTTTGCTCCTCTATGTTGCCTGTCCCACGAGGCCAATATTATTGGCTTCCGAGCTTTCAGACTCTGTGCTGTTGCTTCTGCCAGTCCACCTCATTATATTTTGTTGTCTTGTCTTTACTCAAACCGGCACATTGGTCACCAACATCCTAGGTGGCTATTTCGAGACCATCGTCTCCATTCTGTCACTACGTGTTCATCGGAGATCGGTGTCCAGTACTTTTTCCATCCACTTGGTACGGAATGCTGTTCAAGGAGCAAATCTTACGCCAATGCGTGTGCCGCGCTTCACGGTCGTATGGGTTGACACGGAGACGCTTTTATTCAAACCACTAACTTGGGTTTTCTCCTACTTATTTCCAAATGAGAAAAATCGGCTTATCGAGTTTGGCAAAGTGCTATTTTAGCTCACAGTCGGACTGTCCAATCAAGAAACAGTGCACTACCCCACTGTAAAGGGAATGGTTGAACACTCCACCCGGGATTCAGTACGTGATAAGGGTGTTCTTGCAGTCTACGAACAGTTTAAGCTGTGCAGCCGCACTTGCCAATTTCCCAGCCAATCACTACAATATATGCAAGTAACAATATGATCACTGTAAACCTGAGAATATATACTTTGACCTGGTAGACCGGATTCCGTTCTGAAACATCCGATATTGTACAGCAAAGCCGATTTTTGGGCTGTTCAATGTTCACAAACACAGCTTCCATGACCACCTTTAGAATGAGATTGAAATAAGTCTGTGTAAGGACACAGTCCTATGTGTCACCTCTGTGAAGATTTGAAGTTGATCCACCGGTTTACACCTTTGATGTCATTCTGTCACGTAAGCCCGAACAGGACATAGTCATAGTCAGCAAGGGCTGCCCCTACCAGATCTTAGTTTGTCAGCAAGCCTTGGTGAAGTGTACAAAACGAGCGTACGGAGAGCGGTGATTTCCGGGGGACTTTTCTTACTGCTTCTTCGAAGTGGGTGTCAGGTGCACTATGCTGTGACTGGCATGGAAGTCCGCGGTCATGTTGACATCAAAAACCCTGTCCAATAGGACTCCCCAACTTCAGAGGACTGACTTCCGTGCACTTTTCAGGTGTGTCCTTGCTTCCCTTCTCACCACAATTTTTTTAGCATCTTTGAATTTTTATTGGACGCCCTTTTCGTACCAGATTAGGCGTTTCCGGTGGTCGGACCGCCATATTTGATAGGCAGCACGTTTTCCCCGGCCACGTTCCTACAGTTGCTGCATTTGCACTTCAGTCAGATGAAGGTTCGGTGATTTTCAGTTGTATTTGTATTGTATTTCACCTACTCGTAGGACTGTCCAGAAGCATGTTGGAGAACATGCAACATGCATCCACTAATTCTACGATTAACGTCTGATTCCCCTAGCCCTTCGGCATCTTGGTGCGTCGGTTTCAAAGAACCGTAAAATCATTGTGCTTTCACTGAAGTGAGGATTACTTAACATGTCTACCGCGTTTTCTCCAGCATATCTTCCTAACGCTGTGCACTTGCTGTGTCAAACAATTTCAAGCATCGGTCATTGATCAGGTGGCTGTCAATCTGTTTGCCTGAGCTTGGCAGTTTACTTGCAAACGTTGTCACCAAAGGCACGCAGTTAAAGAGAAAGTAAACAACGAAGCACGAACTGTTTCCTCGTTTGGTAACGAAACGTCTGCAATTGCGAAGCTCGGCGAACAGATAGATAGTCACCGGATCGACAAACGATGCTCGAAAGTGACACAGAAAGAAATATGCTGGGAAAAACGTGGTTGGCAGGTTAAGTTAAAGTACAATGATTTTACGGTTCATTAGGAGCGGCCAGCCAACTCTGGTGTACGAGGATGCTGAAACCCGATGGAACCAGATATCATTCGTGGAGTTCTCGGATAGCATGCTACCGCTTCGTTCTTTTTAAGACCTTTCAGATAGGACTAATCCCCTGAGTTCATTCAGGCTAATTTCGAATTTAACACCAAATTGGACTGCGTGAAAATCAGGCTTTGCTAAATGGAGATTCAAACTTACAAATACTGTAAGGCCAATACCAGTTCAAATGTCAGGCGGTCTTTGTGCATCACGTTCAGTCGTAGAATAGTAGAAATGACAGATATGGCTGACACTCACTTAAGCGCCTTGTTAGCATCCTCTTACTTTGCAAGGTGGTGGATAATTCTATACAACGGTAAAGCATCGGTGCTGAAAATAACGCTGTGATATCGATGATGATGATGATGTGCATTTCTATGGTCAAGTCGGAGGTACAACTGACAGAAACTGGGACACTTTGCCAGCTTGATAATCACGAAAGAGGGCAAAACCGGTAGTGTGTTTCCGAGGAGCTCGGATCAACCTCATACCCGTTGCTGTGTCAGGCACACATAGCTGTTTTGGCCGAGGAACACGTTCGAGCTGTCGTTGGTTCCTCTACATCAGCAGCGCAGCCACTGTCTCATCATCCATATTAACGACCAGCGTGCATGGCATCTCAACTAGCGTACACTCTGGGACGGTGGTCACAGTCGGACGATTGCAAATTCTATCCACCAAATTGATTTGCAACTGAGTGTATTCCTCGAACACAATACACTCCAGTTGTGACGGCACTCTCCCTAAAGATCCACTCCATCTTTCTGCACCGGCGCATCCCAGAAAGCGATTTTTCACTATATCGTCATACACTTTTGTCTTGCTCTCCGGCATCCGTCGCACAAGCCACCGTCCCTAGGCTCTGCACACAGTTCAAAGATGCACGGCTTAGTTGCAGTCGCTATACAGAAACCTTGATGTTTTCAGAAAATCAGCGGGGAGAAAACTGGCGACTGTATAGAAGAGTCACTCTCGCATATACTCATAACGAGTAATCATAGCGGTGAAGGTAAGCATACATTCTAATAGCAAAGAGATGTAGTAGGACCCCCCGGGTACCACCCTCACCGGATAGTTACGTCGTCAAGTTCCTTTCACTGACTTTGACCACCACACTCCCACAAAGTGAGGGCAATAATATCAACTCCTTACAGTGCTAACGCAGGAGGCTGCTTCGCAGAAAGTCACGCTTTTGGTTTGCTTGAAGCTACACAAGTCCTAGACACCTGACATTTCGTCTAGTTCAGTAAAATGACTTATGTCCTACTTAAAACAACAGAAAATGTTTGTGGGGTTTCTGTAATCTGCTTATGAAGAACGACTTTCAGAAAACAATAATTGCTTTGTTATTGTCCTATCACCACTTTCCAAAGCAATGGCAACTTAAAAATGCACCGATGTTCCTGTATTGAAACAGAATGAGATGATGACGAAAACGACCAGGAGGGCTGGAGAAGGAGTCGAAGCCATTGTAGGGATGCCCAGTAATCATGCGAAACTTTGCTTTTCAAGGTAATTTACCTCGTTTTCGAAACTAAGCAGAACCAACCACTTACTACCGTGTTCATTGAAACTACCTGTAGCAACTGAAATCTGACTTCTTTCTTCTGCACGTCTTCATGGAAGATTCTCCTCACATTTCTGTGAAAAATCGTTTCCCCGGGAGCCTCGTTTATGGACACCTTTTATTTACAGTAAACGATGTCTTTAGGACCATGCCAAACGTTATGCGCCTGAGAGTTATGGTCGGATTGCAGCCATCCACATCTTGAAGGCTACTGGGGTCAGACTTTCGCGGAGGAGGTTGTTTGAACCGAACTAGGTGATTGCAGCTTTAAGCTTGCTTATGCAAGTGACTGTCGGCTTTTTCCAGCAGAGCATGGAAAACGGGCAACTGTCGAACTCTTCTTATTGGCTCTTATCAAAAGGGCTTTTTTTGTTGAACTATCATTCTTATCAAGTTGTTTCCAAACCAAGTGATATTTTATTCCATTTTGTGGTCGCCGAGGGTGAAATTATGTCTAATAGGGCCGCTATCACAAGGCACCTGAGGCTAAAGCGAAGCGCATGTTGATACTTGTGAATCAGCGGACGCGCAAACCAAACTCAGAGCTAGCTAGCACTTGATTGGCTGCACGCATGTCAGTTCTTGTGTGACTCTTGCTGGTAGCCTTACCACACCGACTGAACTGAGCCAATCAAAGTCCAGTAAATGGACTGTCACTTAGTATGACAGGCGTAAGCGCGCCATTGCGCTACCCCTTTGTGGCTAGTTCGGAAACCTACCAACGCACAGTTTACAGACCAAGTAGCCAACCAGCGTTTCCGCTGACCGGTAGCAAGCGCAGCCGAAATGCGTGGTGTGTGGACTATCAGACTTAGGTCACACAAAAACCTAAATCACCAGGACTTTCCTATCTCCCCTGGGCCTTGCGTACCCGGGACCACTGAGGATACAGGTTCTCTGCCACATGCAGCTTGACATGTTGCCGTCTGCAGTAGACAACACCCAGTTAAAAGAAACAGCATTGCGTTGTTTGCTCGAAATGTCACAACAGCTGAGTCGTTCCGCAACCGATGTGTTATGGGATGGTATCCGTACACCAAGTGATACTGCACGAATCCAAACAGGAAGGCGAGGCGCTCGCGAGGACAGCGTACAATGTGATCCCCTTTTCCAAAATCTATCTAACCAAAATGTATCACAACCTGAGAGGCTATCGAGCAGTACATGTCACGCAGTAACGACATGGGAGCGGGCGGAGTTATTTGGTAGACAGTATATTGGAACGAATTTCTCCTCACCTCAATCAAAAGGACATGCGAACCTCACACCAGGTAAGTTTTTCAATGCTAAGTGAGCTCTGTATCGTCCCTTATTAATGTCTGGGTAATGGCCTTTAGCCAAACCAGGGAGGCTACGTCCCATCAGATACCTTTGTGTACGTAAGTGGTTGCTCGAACCTGTATGTTCGGTCCCGGTCGATGGTATGTGATCTAAATGAATTTCAGATTTCCTCGTTAAGCTTCTGCGATACAGTTTTCGACTGTTTCCATCGAGTATTATGAGATATACCACGCAAACTACTGGAGACGACGTGATGGTATCATGGGTGGCTAATGGCTAATGAGACGGAAGAAGCATAAAGGGAACGACTGGTTCCTCGTGACCATTCTGTGAAGTCGTTCCACGTTCCAGACGTTGCTGCTGCTCCTGTCCACATTTCCCTCCCAGACAGGTTTACAAATGTGTAAGATTGCATCTAGTTTTATGCCGGTCGTATCTGTCGAATTTGGACAAGACTCAGATAAAACAGAAATTGCCTCGTTCACATGTACGAACAGGGGATCGTAGGGACAAATGAATGTCTCCGCATCTTACTCATCACAATAATCAAAATAACATTACATATGGGTATTGTTTCCTTTAGACAGCGCTTCAAAATGTGCACAGATAGTCAGACCGTAGGTAGCTTGACTGAGAGGACACTTTTATATCAGATTTTTTAAGGGGAACCGCTTTCTGAATAAGGATACCGCTGGAGGTATTTGGATATCATTCGCTAATTTCATGCAATTTGGTTTAAAGCAGAACGTAAGGTTGTCGAAAACTCGGAAACTGCGCCTACCTGATTAGCCTCAAGAAGGGCGAAACTGGTCGTGGGATGTCGACGAATTTTCATCAACCTTACGAGTAGTGCATTACAAATATACATTTATCGCAGTATCTCGAATATCGTAACGACTGAAACGCGAGGCGGCCTGGTGCAGCACATTCAGTTGCCTGAGAACATCACAAACGAGAGATTCAGCTGGGTTCCAGGTCAGTCTCTCGAAAAACCAAATTAGTTTGCAAATGAGTGTAGTTGTGTAGTACTATATGACAAACCACTCCATCACTACTTGACTGACATCGTCCCAACGAAAATTGCCTAGCCCCATTGAAAACTACAGAATGTTTTCCCATTTATTCGCAGATTACTACGCGCACTAACATCTGGTTAGGTATGACAACGTTTCTCAAAATTACCCCATACTACCACAATCTTTGGTCAAGCTAAATCAGGTTATGAGCAGTGAATTTCCCTGTTGTTGTGATAGAGTAGTATCACTTTCAATATCATCAGTAGCCTTCGCCCACCAATCGACAGACATGTCTAGATCAATGAGGAAATTTCGTATATAAGCCATTCCTATCCTATGTGGATCTTTTACAGATAAGCCCCGCCAAAAAGTTAACCCCTGCCACCCAAAATAGATTAGAAAAAAGAGGACATGAAATTTGCACTTTTAGTTTTTATTGAAGAGGGTGAAATTGGGACATGTCATAAATAATTTGTATGAAAAGGTCCGTTTTTCGGTACCTTTGCCTCCAAACCAACTCACACCAGTAGCTGTCCGCTAAGGATCGGTGTGTGCCGCATTGGTTTTTACTCTGCATCTTGTAGACGTGCCAAAGAGTTTCGATGGTTTGTGTGTGAGCTCCAGTCGTTGGGTCCACAAAGTTTTCAGTATGATTAACCGTTTCATGAGTATACTTCATGTCAGTCATCGTTTTACTTCCTTGGTATGATACCCACATATCGGAGATGATGATTGAGCTGGGAACGATGCAGGCCTGGATTGTGCCCATCAAAGTGGCCGCAGTTCGATCTGGCATTGCATACATGAACATCTCTTTAGTTTCCCGGCAGATCCCTCCGAAAATCCACTGCTGGGGAAGGATCGCTCCAGCCAAGTTTCCTTTCGAAGACCGATTTCTTGCCGATACTATCGCATTACACCTCCACCTATCAGAAGCGGCTGAAAGTGTCATTTGGTGGCTTTGTTGCATAAACGTTGCTTGTGGATCACTCCGTGACTTTGCAAGAAGACGTATTACCGTCCCTTCGTCATGAACGAGAATTGAAAGCGTCAGAAAGTTCATTTAAGTTTTTAAGTCCGAACGGAGAAAATTTTTTCACAAAATGAGCCTAGATGGGAATGGGGATTTGTTCTCATCAAAAATAGGTCAAGATTGTGTGCGTACGTTAAGTTGGAGCTGGCAAAAAGTGGTGGGACTTAACTTTTCGCACATGCACTTTTTGCATTGGTGGCAAGAACTTATCTGGAAAAGATCCCTGTTTATTCTAGAGGGTGATATTGTCTCAGGAAGGATCGCGACTTAAAAAGCTGCTTCTAACTGAAATTGCCTCCTCGAAGAACCTCTTCTTGGGGAGCCATTATTTTCTATAGGAACAGCAAAAGACTGAAGTACGGAGAGTATGCATCAATTGGGCCTGTTCCGAAGAGTTTTGATCTCTAACTGAAATTGCCTCTTCGAAGAACCTCTTCTTGGTGAGCCATTATTTTCTATAGGAAAAGCAAAAGACTGAAGTACGGAGAGTATGCGTCAATTGGGCCTGTTCCGAAGAGTTTTGATAATTGCGATTACTATTCAGTCGTGTAAGTTGGTGATTTGACCTACTCTCATCACCACAGACCACACATTACTGAACATCGTGTGCTCCATGTGAGTGAGAGCCTAGATTGCATATCTGGTAGGTTCGGGTTCAATAAAGGTTGTCCGAGATATTCACATCTTGAGTTTTTCAGTAACCCCCCAATAAACTGCAATCTCCAGACTAGTGTTTCTGACCCCAGAGAGCTGCTTACACTGGATTTGCGATTACGATAAATCGAATGCAATATAGACCCAATGTGTTGTCATGACATATAACTCAGTTCTCGGTGTGAAACGAGCCCCCACACTGCCCGAGCTGGGCTGCTACATACGCACGATCAATTTTCCCGTCTGATGGCCTGATGGAATCGATGTCGGAACCGACAACTACTCAGCGATTTTTTTCACGTGTTCCTACACTGGTCACGTGATGCACACCGCAGCCAATGTGCTCACCGCAATCCCATTTCCTCTAACACCATCACCGAAGTGCGATCTGACTGGGTCGATTTTTCAGTGTGCATTCCCATGACCACAAATCCGCAACGGTAGCTCCGTCCAGGTTGACACACACCGTCTCACTTGCTTCAGTTTGGTGGTACTTGACTTTGTTGACTCTAAGACAATACAATTATCAACTCTATTGATACGAAACGAAGGGACCATTCAGAGCACATCTTACGGAACAGTTACAGGACAAGATCTTCAAAGATTCTCAAATCTCCTCACACTGCCAATACCACACAAGAGTCGGTTTTCAGCATCCCAATTAAACTAAATAAGATGGGAAACTTTCAAACATAGTAAAAACAAGAACAATTGGGGAGAATCAGAATACCAAATGATCGTGAGTGTACTGCACCGGTGGGACGGTGTACTGGCATTTGTGTTTATATCACTAGTCAAACCAGTCTTTTTAGCTGTTGACGAGCTTCCATGAGAGCCAAACTCGAGTCCGATCCTGCTGCACTTTAATGTGAGCAAACTGGAATAATTTCAAGAGTTACAAATGCTGCCAACCCCCGAGCTACCTACAGCTTATGTATCAACAATGTTTATGATGTGACAACCGCCTAGATCAATGAAACGGGACATTTCTATTCGCAGCGGTGGTTGTGTTCGATTCCTTGTCTCCGATCTGTTTGTTTGTATATGCGTCTCAAATACATATGCCATCGATCAGTGCCGTATTAGCTGCAGTGACCTGGAAACAGTGAACGAGTTCACCTGAAACCTTCGTTTATGATGTTCTTCAGCTGAATGAACTGCACATTCAGTGTTGCCTCCGTCTCATGTTTCAATTGGTACGATATTTCAGAGATCGCACGTTCTACAAGTAACAGATTACTCATATGGTTGCTGAAGCCTGACCGACAACCCACTATGGGTTTTGCCCTACTTGGAACTCATTAGGTACGCATAGACATTGTGTAATAAACTCAAAAGAAAATCGTAAACAAGAGACTCAGTTGGGGTTCAGTTCAGTTTCCCTTCAAAACTAAATTAGTATGCAAATGAGTGTAATTGGTGGATCGCGTCCGATTATTGTTCAACTACGAAAAAAATTTGACGGAAACTCGGGGACTGCGTCTACCTAATGAGCCCCAAGAAGGGAGGAACCAGCTATGGGCTGTTGAATGGTTGAATGGTTGGTTCAGATAACTGTTCGTCGCATCAGTTCAATCATCATCGAGTTTTGGTGACATGCTCATGCACGAATCTCTTAGTTGGCTGCGTTGTTCTCCCAGTCAGGTTCAACAATAGACCTCCGACTAGAGCGTGGAAGCAGTGAGATGGTCGGACAAATTACTTCAGGTGAAACAGAATAACAGTATCAGCTATTCTATAGAGGAGAAGTATCAGCTATGGGAACGCTGGCAACGGACATTTGTAGAACAGGGCAGAATAGACAGGCAGTATCAGCTATGGGAACGCTGGCAATGGACATTTGTAGAACAGGGCAGAATAGACATAACGAATTAGCGCTGACGTTTGAATAACCGATGGCCGAAGATACGGATCTTTCAAGGCCGCCAAGTTGGAATTTACCTTCTCTACTTTGGTATTCGTAGAACAAAAGCAACCTACTTCCCTGATCACAATGTGGTAAATTGAGAGGAATCTGTTGTGGATGTCGGCGCAACTTCACTGTTTGTGCAGTAACAGATCAATTGGTATTTTGTGCTAGATTAACGTATTTGAATTCATAACATCCACAAGGGCATCGCGGAAGATGAACGATCTATGGATGCTTGAACCGGGATTGCGACACGATTAAACTAACTCACAGACAAACCATTCAGTTCTTGCATCCCTCCTTATCAGAATAACCAGCAATCTGTCGTGGCCTAATAATACCAAAGATCTCTTTCTCCATCAGGCGCATATGTATAAA